ATCTGTCCCTCCTGGGTGTGACTGTGCTGAGCAAAGCTCTGTCCTGTCCTTCACCCTGCTCCTGTCCCCTTGATTATCATCATGGGGCAGGTGGCTGGAACTGGTCTGCTGGGATTCCTGGAGCTGGCGCTTTTGTGCTAAAATTCCCGGAACGTTCCTTTCTCAGCATCCAGGTAGCAGGGGCTGTAGGCCTGCTCTGCTGCACCCAAACACATTTTTCTTTTTTTAAACTGGACTTTATTTATTTATATATTTTTTTGCAGAACTGGGGATTGAGCTCAGGTCCTTGTGCTTGCCAGGGAAGCGCTTATTCCAGTGAGCCATCTCCCTGGCCCCCAAACACATTTTTCTTTTTTTAAACTGGACTTTATTTATTTATATATTTTTTTGCAGAACTGGGGATTGAGCTCAGGTCCTTGTGCTTGCCAGGGAAGCGCTTATTCCAGTGAGCCATCTCCCTGGCCCCCAAACACATTTTTCTTTTCAGGGTTAGGGTTAGCCAGTACTTGTGCACTGGAGGCAAACCCTACCACTGAGATATTTGTTTTTGTGGTGCTGCGGATTGAATCAAGGGCCTTGTACCTGCAAAGCAGGAGCTCCAACGCTGAGTCAACGTCCCCAGCCCTGCCCCTGAGATCTTTGACTGCAAGGCTGTATTCCTCCCTGGACTTGTTCTAGTCTCTAGCAGGTGTTCATGGAGAATTTTTCAGTTCAGCTGCTCAGCCCCATACAGTGGGAGAGAAAGGGGGCTTCAGGGGCTCTGAAACCACATATTGGACTGAATAGTGTCCCCCAAAGATTTCTTTCTTTCTTTTTTTTTTTTTTTTCCTGTATTTAGTACAGTTCTACAGGGTCTACAGGGTCTCACTACATAGATCAGACTTGTAGTGATTCTCCTGTTTTCAGCCTCCCAAGCCCCAAAGATTTCTTTTTTTAGTACTGAGGCCAGGGATTCACACTGAGCTGTATCTCCAGTTCCCCTTTTCTTTTCTTTCTTTCTTTCTTTTAGACAGTCTCTCCTTATGTACTTCATGCTGGTGTTGAACTCATCACATAGCCCAGGCTGCCCTAGAACTCACAGTGATCCTTGGGGGCAGGGCCGGCAGGGCACACTGAGGATAGAACCCAGGTTCCTGTTGTTATAGCCTGTGCAATTGATTC